TAAATGTAAAGCTTAGGCGCCTACTCTCAGAGTACATCAAGGAGGGGCTACCATACAGTGTTTGTGTTAAACTATAGTCTTGGGATTTTGGGTACAGGACACCCCAGCCTCTAAAACCTATAGTAGAGTAGCTGAATTCATTTCAATAATAGGCAAGGGGAGGAGACTGAAGAAAACAGTAAAGAAAAGGAAGCGGGCGCTGCTGTCCAGCCCTTCCTCAAAACATCCCACATTTAATAAATTTAAAAACTCAGTGAAATCTTTCTGTAATTGGCTTTTGTCCCATGAATTAGCAAGGCAGAAGACTTTAATGCCTTTGTGAGCGTGAGAATAAAACAAAGAGGACACCCACAGATGTAGTGAGAGGGAAATGAATATTTTAAATATAGTGTCCATTTCTCGTAAAGTGTGAGAAAGAGAAAATTTCCCTAAAGATAGTTGCCCTGTGCTCTTTCATCTTGGACTAAGTAAATGCATAGACGTGTCAAAAGCCATGCTTTAAAAAGAACTACAAGCTGGCCAGAGTGGCACATATCTCAGCACTCCAGGTGTGTGAGCTAGAAAGACTGCGAGTTCAAGCCCAGCCTGGCAACTTAGTGACTCAGCAAGCCCCTGCTCCAAAATAAATAGAAATGGTTGAAGATGTAGCTCAGTGCAAAGGCCCTGGGTTCCATCCCCAGTACCGCTGAACAAAAACAAGCTCAAACAAACCTATGGTGGCTTTTGTTAAAAAACACGATAGCAAATATATTTATGATATAAAGCATACTGAATGTTTGGGATATTTGTTGAGCAAATGAAGCAGTCCTGTTTTTCTGGAGCAGAACCAGTCCTGGAATGCAAAAATCTATTTATTTCTTACTTGCTGAAGAGTGTCCTTTTGTTTCTCAAATTCAGAGTTGTTCTCCCACCTCCTTCCACCTCATGCTCAAGGGTGGAACAGATGAAAACCTTCATGTGTTCTGCGGAACCAGCTACCCTAAAGCCGGTGCTCAGGACCACTCTGGGCTGTGGTTAGTGACTATTTATTTTTTCTTACACATACTCAAGGCCCACATGCCAGGAAGCAGGGAAGGAATCATATCGGTTCATCTCCTGCAGAAAGGAAGTCCTCTTCACCACTGTATAGAGCTACGTAAGAATGAGCTTTTTCTGACATAAATCAGCCAAAGAAAACAGAATCCGTTGACATTTGAAGTTGCCATAACCTCCTCACCCACGTATTTCTTCAAAAGTAGTGTACAGATAAGTATGGTCGGTGCTAACGTTTTAAGAGTTTAAAGGTAGGAGGGTTTATCTTTTAGATAAGATTTTTTCATAATAACAACACTTAATAATTCTTATCACAACATTGATAGAAATTTTTCTGAGTTATATCCTAAATTTATAAATAAGTTGTGTTCTGCCAGTCAGGTTAAGAATCTTGTGTTAAAAGCACCTTAGCTGAGATTGCCCAGACCTGCGTCTGTCACTGGGTTACACAGTCTTAGATATCACTCCTGCCTGTGTGTGCCCCTTAGGCAGTGTGGACAGAACAACTACAGTCACAGGTCAACATGGGCACCCCCGTGATCTGATACAGACGCTCCAGCAGGAAGAGTGTTCCCAAGAGGAGGGGCAGGAAACAGGTCATTACATAGTTTTATTGCTTAGATTCTAGCGGGGTCTTGTGCAAGTCATGTGGTCTCTTGTACCTTGGTTTCCTAATCTAAAATTGGAGATAATAGCGGCTCCTCATTTTGCAGAAGCTGTAGACAGCAAAATCTGTCCCCAAAACATACTTTCACTGAGTTAGATTCTCTTCCCTGAGAAATTTAGTAGCGTGACCCCAAAGAAGATTTGGTAAGCCAGACAGATATGGTTCATTTGCAGGAGACTAAGAGATGCTCTGATTGACACCCAGCAAGACTCAGCCTCTTTGTGACACAGAAATCACTGGCACATCTGCACACTTAGGTACACATCATTGTCCTAAAACTGTTATCTTCACTGGCTCCCTGACTGCTCCATTTTGCACAGAGTCAGACCATTCCACAGAGATGGTAGACGATCTGTTTGATTTTCAGGTCAGCAGGTAGGAAATGCCAGGCTTCTTTTCTTCAAAAATTAATTTTTATTGAAAAATAAAAATGTATATATTCATTTACAACATGATGTTTTGACATACTGATATATATACTTTATAGAATGGCTAAATCAATGCACTTAACATATGGTTTGTGTGTGTGCATGCATGCGTGTGTGTGTGTGTGTGTGTGTGTGTGTGTATGTAGGGAAACTTAAAATCTACTCCCTTAGCAATTTTCAAAAATATAATACATTAACTATGGTCACCTTATTGGAATCTCTTGAAGTTACTCCTCTTAATTGGCATTTTGTATCCTTTGACCAACATCTCTCTAATTCCCATGCCTCACCCTTGCCTCTTGCCCTAATAAACACCATTTTACTCTGCTTCTATGACATCTTCTTTTTAAAGATTCAACACATAAGTGAGGTCCTGTGGCATTTTTATTTCTGCTCTTGCCTTAAATCACTGAATATAATGTCTTCTAGTTTACCCACATTGTCACCAATGACAGAATATCCCTCTTAAGAAGCTGAGTAGTATTCTACTGTGTATGTACATCACATTTTCTTTATCCATTCACTCACTGGTGGATGCTTGATTCTATTTTATAGCTATTGTAAATAATGCTGCAATAAATATGGCGGTGCAGTTGTCTCTTTGAGATACTGGTTTTACTTCCTTTGGATATATATATACACACACCCAAGTAGTGGGGCTGCTGGATCATATGGTATTTCTGTTTTAATTTTTTGAGTAATCTTCACCCTGTTTTCCATAATGGCTGTACTGATTTATATTCTCACCAAAAGTGTGCTTGGGATCTCTTGTGTGCACATCTTTGCCAATATTTATCTTCCATCTTTTTTGTCATACCCAGCCTAACAGGTATGAGGTGATATTTTGTTGTGATTTAGATTTGCATTTCCCTAATGACTAGTAATGTTGAGCATTTTTCAATATCACTGTACTGCTGATTTATATGTCTTCTTCTGACCAATGTCTATTTAGGTTCACTGACCATTTCAAAATTAGGTCATCTGTTGTCTTGCTGTTGAGTTATTTTATTTCCTTATATATTTTGCCTATGTACAGCTTACAAATATATTCCACTTCATAGACTATTTCTTCATGCTGTTGTTTTCTTTGCTCTATCAAAGCTTTTTAGTGTGATGTAATCTTGTTTGTCTATTTTTGCTTTTGTTGCCAGTGCTCTACCCAAAAAATCACTGCCTGGAGCAATATCATAGGTCTTCCCCCTAGGTTTTCCTCTAGTAGTTTTACATATTCAGGTCTTATAATCAAGACTTTATGTAACTCTTTATGAGCTGACTTTTGCATATATGAGAAAAGATACAATTTCATTCTTTCTGCATGTGGCTGTCTAGTTTTCTCAGGACCATTATTGATGAGACTATCATTTTCCTGTTGTATGTTCTTGGCACCTCTGTTAAAAACCAGCTGACCATAAACTCACTGATTTATTTCTGGGCTCTCCTTTCTGTTCTGCTGGTTTCTTTCCTGTTTCTAGTCCAGTATTATGCTATCTTGCTTATTCGAACTTTGTAGCAGATTTGAAGTCAGTGAGCATGATGTCCCCAGCTTTGTTCTTTTTGTTCAAGATGACTTTGGCTATTCAGGCTCTTTTGTGGTTCTATATGAGTTTTAGGATTATTTTTTTCTATTTCTGTGGCAAATGCTATTGGATTTTGGATGTGCATTGCATCGTACTGTTGATCACTTCAGGTAGTATGGCTATTTGAGCAATTTTAATTCCCACAGACACAGAATAGCTTTCCATTTCCATTTTGTATCTTCTTCAAATCTTCTCAGCAGCATCTGAGTTGGCTCCTATAGATCACTTGCTAGATGGTTACAAACTCAACCCAAACTGAATAACACAAAACCACTACCTTGAAAGTGGAAAGAAGTGTTATTTTTCATAGCAGAGGAAAACAACCAGAATAGAATATGGTTTTAGTCTTAACAAAGCATTAATTGGTAGTATAAAATTACAGGGTATAGCACATGAGGAGTGGTTGGCTTAATCACTTTTTATTACCTATAATTAATGTTTTGTTGACTCCTACAGGACTCAGGAGTAGCCCCAGAACTGTATTCTCTGCTGTTCTCCCTGTGTGTCTGGGTGTTGAGTGACTCTGTCCTCAGCTGTGAGTTCAGCTGCCGCCTATGCATGAGTAATGCTAGACCTCACCCTCCCACCCTTGAACTTCACCCATCTGTCCACTTTTTTGTTGCCCATTGTCAAATGCACTTCTTCACTGGAAATTCATTTGTAGCTGAAATTATATCTGATGAAAGCCTTTCCTCTAATCTTTCTCAGAGAAGTGTAGTTACAGTCTTTTCTCTTATTCTGTTTATTCTCCAAGTCAAATAAGTAACTCACATTCGTGATTTATTAGTAGTGTCTAACTACCTCTACCATGCCAATTTATGCACGTTTATGATCCCCACCCACTAGCATTTCTAGAGATTCAAGTCCACTGTCTTTGCCTTGCTGTATGCCTCATGCAGGTTAATTTCCTTGGTGTTTACCCACAGGTTCCCTTAGACGCAGTTTAAAAATATCACTTAGATAGAAACTTCAGATTCATTTAAAAGTTATACTTCCTTCCTCCTAGATATACTATTTATACTTAATATTGTTCATTTTCCTTTAAAGGGTTCTGGATTCCTATGCCATCATTGTAATCCATGTAGTTATAGAGTGACAGCAATTTTGCCTGAATGTTGGAGCTGTTTCCACCGTAGTGCATTCTGCAGCACTGGTCTTTTCCAGTTAATTCTCAAAGCTTTGACTTGGTGGGAGGGAAGAAAGGCGACACACCAGGCTTTGTCTGCTCTTTTCTAGTGGGATTTTGGCAAGTTCCTTTACCTCTCTGTGCTTTTTCTTGCTTTGTTCCTGTTAGGTTTTCCCCCCAACTGTAAAGTGGAGCCTGCAATGTGTGACACGTGGGCCAGCTGTGGGAATGGAATGAGGAGCTCAGGGTGAGTGAATCAGCCTTCCGCAGCAGGCTGACTAACGGTGGCTCAGTGCCATCCTCGCTCATCTCCCAACCCGCTGCCCCCTCGCCGCTGGGAACTCTGTGAACAGATTCCCAGGAGAGTCAGAGTGTTGAAGTTCAGACCCAGGTAGCATCTGACACTACCTGCATCATTGCTGAACATCAACCAACGTTGGGTTTTTACTTCTATGTTAGGGAAAGTGTTGTGAAATGCCGGCTGAGACCCAGAAGTAGCAAAGGAAAGAATGATTCTGTTGAAAGTACAGTGCCCTCCATTCACCTGAGGACCCAAGTGCCTTCCTGAAGATCCTGTCTACTATGCTTGGATGTTGGCTTCCAGATTTACAAATATTAGTCAGTGTAGGAAAGGTGACAGGAGAGGTGATGGGCTGGAGTCAAGGGCAAAGGCAGAAAAACTAAAAAATTAGGGGACTTTGGAAAGGAACTAAAAGCAGAACAGCAGTCTAGCTCCTTTAGCACTCCAGTAGTCTCCGAGATCAGCATAGGATACTAGAATAATCTATGTAACAATAATGATGACCTTTTTTCTGTCTTTTTGAGACAAGGTCTTGCTATGCAGTTCAGGCTGGGCTTGAGCTCATTTAGTAGCCCAGGCTAGTCTCAAACTCACAACAAACCTCCTGCCTCAGCCTCCTGAGTGCAGGGATTATAGGTTGTATTACCACCACACCTGGCAATAATGATGATTTAATTGTCAGTAAATGATAACTTATGTTGTTTGCAGTTGGTTTACTGTATTTTGAGGTATATGTAAAATTGTTGAAAAAATTTTCCATTTAGTTAAAACACTTTCTCAAAATATATTCATGGCCCTTCATCAGATAAATATCTATTATCATGAAATTTCAGTATGTGATACATCTGTGATAAGCTAGTTCATGCCAGTGTGTGTGTGTGTGTGTGTGTGTATGTGTGCACACAGATCATAACCCAGCTTCTTTTAGAGATTTTGCTGTAATGACATTCTAATAAAAACCTCTCCATGAACTCTACATGAAGATTTAGTTACTAAAAGTATAAAAATTCTCAATTCTAGTAGAATGTTGCTACAGTGAGGCCTCAGAGGATAAAAGCACATCTATCAAATGCTATTCCCCAAATTAATAACAAACATCCTCTGAGTACATGAGATCCTCATCACCTTAAGAAATAAAAGTGGCTTCCCTTCATCTCCTAAAAAGTAATTTGTATCATTCTCACCTCTGTATTAAGTTGTTCTGAATGTTTCAGCCCCATAGAGCAAATTGGCTTCCCCAGCACTAGCTATGTTTTTGAAATTACTTTTCTTTCCTTAGAAATAATTTCCATGTATTAACAAACTCTATCATATAGTTTCTATCCTGGGTAATTTTTCTTTTCTAACTTCATGGATTTAAATAAAATAGTTACATAAGATATATATATATGTATATATATATTATATATACATATATATATATCTTAGTTGTGACTTAATTTTAACTTCTACTCTCTCTCCCTCTCCCTCCCCCTCTCTCCCTCTCCCTCTCTGTCTATCTAAATACACCAAAAGATGCTGGAGTTCTGCTTCCATTTAAAATGGAAAAAAGAAAAATTATGAATCTCGCCTTCATTTAACCTTTCTTTCACCATTCCATGCTCATTTGCTACACATTTATGTTAGAAACCTTTAATGGTTTCAGCATGTCCTTGGCTTGCTAGAGTTTGTCATGAATTAAAACTTTTAGCACTTCTCAGATAATGTAAGAATTGAAAACTTAAATTTCTTTTACCCTACCTTCAGCTTTTTCACTTTTATTGCCATGGATTTTAACTCCATGCCTACCTTAAATCCTATGAAAGATTAGTTTTGGATGGTCAATATTTATACGGATTCCTGTCTCCTCTACCTTCCTGTTGCTGATCATTCCTTGCTGGGTTTCCCTGCTTCCATTTGGGGTACTTTTTATTTATCTGAAAACTTGCAGTCGTGTTATCTTTCAGTAGGAGTCTACTGGTCCATTTCTGTTTGTCATAAAGACTTTTTATTTCACCCTTTTTCTGAAGGATATTTTTGCTGACTGTAGAATTCTAGGCTTTTTCCTTAGCATCTTAAACATGTCCTGCTGTTAATTCCATAACTTTCATTACTTCTGCATTATAGTCAGCTGTAAGTTTTGGGCAGAGGCCTTGAAGATAATGCTTCTTTTTTCTTCTGGCTGCTTTTTGATTTTCTTTTTATCTCTCACTTTCAGCAATTTGACTATACTTTTTGGGGGAGGGATTTTAGATTTTCTTTAGCCCAAGGCTTGATACTTTACACTGATCACTTTGTTTTGCAAATTCTTAGCTAATCCCTCTTCAAATAGTGTTTTTTGCCCTACTTTCTATTCCTTCCTTTTCTGGCTCTTTGAATAAATGTGTGTTTGAACTCTTCACTCTTATGTGGCTCTCACCTGTTTTCTGTACTTGCTATTCTTTTATTCACATCATTCTCCAGTCTGAATATTTTACAGTGAACTATCTTCACTGTCACTAAAACTTGAGTTTAATCTACCTTTAGAATCTATCGAATTTTCATGCTGAAAACCATTTGGTTATATTTGCTTATTTGTATTAGTACTTTATTTTATTTCTTGAAATATAGCCCTTTCCTTTCACAAAATTCCCCATATTTCATCTATTTTTTAACATATTAATCTTCCAGAAATCTCACTAAACTAAGACTTCAGTAGAAAACAAGTCTGCTGAACAATGATTACTGTCCTAGCCTGTTGAATCTTATGCTCACAAGTAGGAACAGTAAATCCAAGATACAAAGGTCAAAAAGTAATGACAATAGCCAGGCATAGTAGCACACACCTGTAATTCCAGTACCCTGTGAGGCTAAGGTAGGAGGAATACAAATTCAAGCTCAGCCTAAACAACTCAATAACTTAGCAAGATCCTATCTCTAAATAAATACATAAATGCTGAGAATGCAGCTCAGTGTGAAGGTATTGGGTTTAATCCCCAGTAACATGCAGGCATGCACACACACACACACACAGACAGGGACAGAGACAGAGACAGAAAAGCGTTTATGAACTAAAAATGTGGTTATAGAATTTGCATGCTCAAAAGAACTTTGGTGACCATGTGATCTAAACCCATCATGGTGCCTAGCACTTTCTACCTAGAGAGCACTTAATAAATGCATTCGCTAGGTGAGTTAAATGAAGGCTAGAAGGTGACCTGTCTAAGACACACAACACAACCTGCTAAAACAAAGCTCAACTCAGAAGAATGTCACAGAGAATTTTTATCTCTATAAACAAAGTACTGTCCACTGACACATGCAATTTTCGAAACTTATTAGATTATTTATTATATTACTATAAAAATTATAAGAATTTCAAATATGACTTACACACAAAATAGGTAGAATAATAAATCCCCATGTAGATATTATTTGAATTCCAAATTACTCAATATTCTAATGATTTTTTTCAACAAATTCTTATTCCTTCTATTTTAGGCAGATAAGTTAGATAGAAATTAATAGACAGTCAGACAGGGATGGGCCTTCAAGAGAGTCAGTGCAAAAGATAAGAACACACCAAAACTGGGACTGGAGGCACATCCGTTGAAGGCCAGGCCTCAAGATAAAGATGCAGTGACCAGACCTACCTGCCTCCCTGAGGGATAGAGGGTAACTTGAGTTTGTATTCTGATTGGTAACACCTGGTCCAGTAAAGTCCAGCTAGACATCAACCACCCAGGTGTGTGATCAGAACATCCAGACCCATCCCTTCCCCAAAATGCCCTTGCTCTTTCTTTGTACCCTTGCATTGTGACTTGCTTCTGTACTGGATCAATCTTAGCTAAGCAGCTATACTTTAATCCTACAGGTTGCTTGTAGTTTGACTCACGTTATACCCACATTGTGACTTTGCTGTATTAGTTACTCCTGACAAAGTGCCTTGGGGGCAATCCACTTTGGGACCTTTCCTGTGTCTCAGAAGCTATGTCTTTAGAATTTGTTCCTATTCTTAACTTCTCTGTTATCCTTTGGAATACATTCTTCCAATTCAGGGGACACAACTTGCATATCTGACATCTAGCATGTTGGAAGTTGTATTTCTCCTGTATCATTTCTTCCTCAACCCCTTCTCCAACTCTCATTTTATTACTCTTTTTAACAAAAAATTCAAGGTGGAATTTATGAACATTGAAAGACAAATCTTAACTATACACTAGTGGTTTGTTGAAAGGAAGAGGTAATGCCTAATTTTTTTTCTTTTTGACCAATTCTGCATGCTATATCTGGTAATCTGAACAATTAATTTGAAGACAACAATATGCAATAGAACAACCATTGGTGAATTCCTACCATCTAACTATCCAATGCTGACAAAGAGATCTATTTATATAACTATGCTGCTATGGACTCAGCTCTTCCTCCCCGCCCATTCATATGTTAAAGCCCTAACTCTCAATGTGATTTAGAGACAGGACAACAAGGAGACAAAGAAAGGTTAAGAGAGATCTGGAGGATGGAGACTTAATCTCATAGGGCTGGAGTCCTCTTAAGAGGACAGAGAGAACCAGCTCTCTCCCCTACCCCCACCCCACCTGCACAGACTACAGCACAATGGCAGCTGACCCTAAGCTAAGAGAAGAGACCTCAGAATCAACCCGCCTGGCCAGGACTTTCATCTTGGACTTCCCCACCCTTAAAGCTGTGGAAAATGAATTTCTGCTGGTTAAACTACCTGGTCTGTGGTATTTTTTTATGTAGCCTTCATATGCTACACACTACACACTACACACTAGTTACACATACACACTAGCATGCCATGGAACATTTTAATCTATCCAGAAAATTCTTGCCTTTTTCCTGATACTCTCTTGTCCTCTTCTTCCATCCCTGAGGGGATCAGTTTTAATTTTTTTCTTTACCCTATATTAATGTTTTGTATTTTAAAAGTTCATACAAATAAAATAATTCAATATGTTGTCTTTTTTTGTTTCTTTCATACAGTATCATATCTGAGAGTCTTATCCATTTTGTCATGTGGGTAAGTAGTTCATTCCTTTTCAGAGCTGAGTACTATCCCATTGGATGAATAGATCATCATTTGTTCATTCTCATATTGTTGCCCACCTCTATTTTTGGCTTTTGAGACTGATACTGCTGTGAACCTTGTGCCATCTTTGTTTGTGGACATAACTGATTTCTCTTGAGTGAAATTGCTGGGAGTGAAATTGCTGGGTCCAAGCGCATGCATACTTTAGCCATTCTTGTGGCTGTGCAGTGATGCCTCTTTGGAATTTTAGCTTATGGTTTCCTGATGACTAATGATGCAGAACAATTTTAATGTGCTTATTTGTCATTTGTATATTTTCCTTTGTGAAGTGCCTACTGTGCCTTTGCCCATTTTCAATTGACTATTGTAGTAATTCATTGTAATTACTACATTGTTATTACTGTTGTAGTAATTCATTATTGCAGTAATTCACTACAGGTTCTGGAAGTCCTTTGCCAGACTTACGATTTGTGATATTTTCTGTATGTATGGGGATTGCCTATTTTTTTTTCTTACTGAGTCTGTTGAGCAGCACAAGTTTTAAATTTGATGAAGTCTGACTTATCAAATTTTTTTATGGTTGTCACTTTCTACAGTCTTTATCTTTGCCCACCTCATGTTATAAAAGCACTCTCCTGTCTTTTCTTTGAGGAGATTTATGACTTTAGTGTTTATGTTTAGGTGTATGATCTACTTTAATATTAACCTGAGAGCACATTGCATATATCTTTTTAACTTGCTCCCACCTCCAACACTATTTCATCAATCTTTTCACCTATCATTGAAAACACTGCATATGTAATGTTGGAGGCTGTATGATTTTCTATGCCTTGATGTACCATACTTTATTTAGTGATTTCTTTATCTTTGGATATTTAGGCCCTCCCCTCTGTCATTGTAAATATTTGCAAAGAAATCGAAAACACTCCTAGAAATCGAAAACACTCCTAGAAATCGAAAACACTCCTCCTAGGGGAGTTACTAATGATATAGGGGAAAGAAACACCCAACCCACTGGATGTCTGGTGTGAGTTTATGTTCTCTAAAATCAAAAAATGAATTTTAGGAACAATGGAGATTAAGAGCAGAATATATTTATTGAGGGGAAAAAAAGCTTTTGTCAGAGAGATAGACAGAAGGGGTCTCAAGTGTGTTCCCAAGGAGTCTGTCTTTTCTAGGGATTTTTATAGAGCAAAACCATGACGTGAAGTGAGTCCAAGGTGGGAAAAATGGAAAATCGCAAGGTGGGTATGAGATGGGATAAAACTATGGTCAACCAGTAAGATTACAAGTATAATTGCTCAGGTAAAATTGATTAAATTGGGATCAAATGGGGAAGCGAGTCATGTAGCCAGCGGGCATGAATACGGAACAAGGGCTTTTCCTGTAGGGGGTGGCTTAGTGGCTCTTCCTGGCTTTCTCAGGGTTATCCATACCTATTTAGAATACCAATCTCTGATGTTTATCCTTAGGAAGTGTACGGGTGCATTTGTTTCATCTTTTATCTTGAGGTCTGGCACACACTGGAGGTGCCTGTCTCCCCCACATTTGCAAGGCATCTCATCTTCTGCACTGGCTCCTTCAAGGGCCTAGCCCTATCTGATTGCCTATATTTTTATCTAACTTAGTTGCCTATAACACTAATTACTGGGCCAAGCAATGTGGCCAAAGCAATACTTAAGACTTAATACACATTATATCCCAAAATGCTTTTCATGAAAGAATTCAGTATTTAAATTCCTGCTAGCTTGGACTGGGGGTACGGCGTGATAGAGTGTGTGCTTGGTATATATGAGGGGCTGGATTCAATCTCCAGTGCCAATAAATAAATAAACAAACAAATAAATAAATAAATAAATTTCCTCCAGCAGCACATGATAATGGCATCTCATCTTGTCTCATATCCTTCTTTAAAATTCGTCTTCTTTGACATGTTAAAAAGGTATTTATTTTAGCATCAGTTTGTATTTCTTTTATTATTAATGATTTTAAATTTTAATTAATTATTTTTGATACTGGGAATCAAACTCAGGATATTGTGCTTACCAAGAGGAGCTTGTGCTGCTGAACTATATCCCCACCTTGAATTTTATTTGTTTGTTTGTTTTCTTTTTTGGTACTGGGAGTCAAACTCAGGACCTTGTGTTTGTCAGGCAGGCGCTTAGGCTGCTGAGCTATAACCCTGGCCCCCCAGGTTGAGTTTAAAAAATTGATTTATTAGACTTGTTTTCCTCATCTGTGAATAACCACCTCATATGCTGTGCTCACTTTTCCATTATTAATCTATAGAAGTCCTACCTTTATTTCTTTTGAATTTGTTCCAGAAATTTATTTATTAAGGATATTAGTCACATGTTTCATGTTATGCCCATATTATTCTTAAGCTTTTGCCTATGATTTTTGGTGTTGTTAGTGATTCTAGTCAAAAGTTAGTACTTTAAGGGTATTTAGAAACATATACTAGGAAAATTTCAGGAATGGGTGATGGAAGAAATAGTGAGCTAACCATAAAGTCATTCAGTAGGAGGCAGAATAAGGATTTCCATCTTTGACCTGATGAGTGATTACTGTGTATGTATGAGTTGGTCCTATGCATATCTGCTGCCTATTTCCTGATGTATAAAATACAGAGAAATATTAAAAATGTACAAGAGTCCTGGATCATAGTCAGTATAATTAAATGCAAAGTATTATGTCTATAAGCTATTTTAGTGTACATTATTGTGTGGGAGGTAGAGACCCCTTTTCTTTCCTCTTACATATTGTAGGAAATAAAAATGTAGTAAAAATGCATGTATTATTTCACTTTTATGGTAAAAGTAAATTTATTACAGTTAAGAAAACAATTCTTGGACTGGGGATTTAGCTCAACAACACAGCGTCTGCCTGGCAACTGCATGGTCATGAGTTCGATTCCTGGTACCAGGAAAAAAACCCAAAAAAATAAAATAAAAAGAAAACAATTCTCAAAGAGAAAAGATATAGCATTAAAAACAGATTCAATTGCCAATACATGTAATACCCTGGAAAAATTAAGGGAGAAAGACAGTGTGAGTTAATGAAGAAGATGCACTCTAAAGACTCTGTTACAAAACATCAGAGGGAAATACGCTTCCTGAAATCCTATCAGAAGCAACTATTCCTTATGGTAGTTGTTATGGTTGATACATTGTGCCAACTTGGGGAGTCTAGAGGTTTGGCCAAGTGACTCAGCAGAAAACCAGATACTTACTTTGTATACATCCTGAGCCTGTGGAAGAGGAGGGCATGGAGATTATGTGAGAGCTACACACCCCTCAGGTGGGGGTAGCCTGTTTACAAAGTAAGGCAGGGAAAGAAGCTGCTTGCCCCCATTCCTCCTTTTTGCTCTGGCTGCTTTGCTGTTTGGCTGCCATTCCCCTCTTTGCTCTTGTTGGTTTGCTACCTTCTGCCTCGGAGCCAGCCAAGCATGGACTGAAACCTCCACAAACTGTAAGCTAAATAAACCTTTCCTTCCTTCATTTTGGGCATTGGGTATTTTGTCCCAGCAATGAGAGAAAAGTAACCAAGACAGTAGTTAGAACCGGAATTTGCAAGTATTCATTATGAATGTAAACCATCCTATAATAAGTTATTTCCTTTGGGTTATGAAATCACAGATTCATTGCAGCTTTGTAAGACCGGAAGACTATCTTGTCTCCTTTTATAATTGTGAGAACTGAGGCCCAAAGAGTTTCAATATTATCTCAAAAACTAATTATTTCCTAAATACTAATGCTTGTGCTCAAACAGAACCTAGAATCCCTTGCTTTCTACTCTGGAGTTCTTTCATACCTCCACATGACATAAAAAAAGTTAGCATGTGAATTCAAAGTACAGCTAACTCAAAGCTAAAAACAGTCCACTTCAGAGTTTGTATTTTTTTAACAATAAAATTCATTACTCCAAGAGCTAACATGGTTTCTTGTTCTAAAACAATGAATTGATTACTTTTTTAATATAATGGGAAGGAAGTCATCAAACTGTGGCATATAAAAATATAATGTTTTCAAATGGTAAAAATAACTTTTAGAGAGTTTGCTTGTCATTTGCTTATGGAGTAGATCTGCTTTACAAGTCTTTCTAATGGAAAGTTGGCAAAACTTTTGGAAATATTTTCACTTGCTACTTAGGAAGAAAAAGTATATAAGTATAAATATATACAAATATATTTTTATGTATAAAAATAAATAAATACAAACATACATCCCCAAACCACTTTACTTCAAAGGAAGACACTATTTGCTGTAAATACTCTTTGGCTCACTTATGAAGAATGAATTGTCATTTCATTTTAGAATAAAGTAAACAAAGCCATAAAAAAAAAGCACTGCTCAAGACTATCAGAGATACATACAGTTTTTAAATCAGAAGAGAAACTCACTGCTGCATTTTAAGCCAGTACTTTGTCATGCAAATTAAGTAGTTGAAATGATGAATGAAAAAACAACATTCTAGCATTTACAGTGATCAACATGCTGTCTATACTCTTGTTAACTACTGCAGGGCATGAGGAATGTAACTCATCCGCTGACCTTTGTGGAATAACTACTTTCTTGTAAGCTGCGTGGACAGCTTGTTATTATCTAGATTTACTTGAAGTTAGATAGACTGTTGTTAGGATAGCGTATAGTTCTAATAGCTATCAATAAGAATGGACCCAACCCAAGGCTATTAATTTAGTGACAACATGTTTCATCCACACAGAAGTCTCTATCATAGACATAGTAAAGGAATAGGGAGTCTAAAACTTTCTGAGACTCTTTCCGAAAATTAATCAGGAAGTAAGATTTTCGATGAAAGAGTTTTAAAGTACAATCATTATATTTAACTCAGTGAGCCCAGTTTAGCAAATGCATATTTTTTCTTTCCCATTGTATTCTCCTATAGAACATTAGAGCATTCTAATGAGATTCTCATTGACTAAACTGCAGTACCAGTACTGGCAGCTAGTTTTTCCATTTTATTCGATTATGTGTCTACTGTTTTTTAAAACTTGGACCAATGACTTTGCAAATTATATAAATGAGTTGGTGTAGACTTTCTATTCTGAGCCCATTTAAGAGGTGAGTAAGCTCGGGGGTACCTCAGAGTACCTTTGCAGGTGGAAAGGATGAGTGTTAGAGGGCATGATATGTGAGTCCAGTAACTGAAAGCCAGTCCAGTGATTATCTTATAACCCAAAGCTGGAATAAGTTCCATCCACAGAAGCAGCAGGCAAGGTGAAACTTGGTGTTTTCTGTTTGTTCAATGTTTCTTAATGAAAATGGAATACCGACATTGTTAAGTAACTAAATTTACCAAATAGTTCTTTTTGGGGGACTTAATTCAGCAGGAAACCTATTATAGCTTCTTATTTCTAGGTCAAGAGGAAAATATTTCAGAAGCACTCAGAAGGGAATTGCAAAATCCGAAATATGATTGCTTAACGATGACTGAAGAAACTCAGGCCACATTCTGTTGCTTTGGTGTGCTGCTGCCAGTCTAGCTTTGACAATAGCTTGGCACACGTTTCACCAGCTTTCGACAGAATTTTTAATTTTCTGGATATCTCTTTGAATCTGTTTCAAATTCTCTCCTATATTGTTCACTTAAGGTTCCCATCATTTTTCTATGCTCCTCCGTTTTTATCTATGTCTTCTTTAAATTTGCTGTGCAAATTTTTCATTGTTGTTGTCATTTCTTCTTTTACTTTAGAGATTATTTCTTGTCTGATTTCTTCTATAGCCTGGTGGAGTTGTTTCTTTACTTCAGTTTCTATCATTTCAGAAATTTCAGGTGTGTGACTTCCAAGCTCTTCTATGTCAGTATCTCCTGGACTTGTTCTGGGTGTAGTGGAGGGCTGAGATTGTATTTTCTCCTTTCTTTTGTCATGTTAATCTGTTCAGTAGTGCCAATCCCACAGAGTTACTTTTTGGTAATATGCTTTCCAGTGCTTACAGGAAAGAATGGTGATGCCTGCATCAAGGACAGTGGCAAAGGTCTTGCTGGCACAGAACTGCATAGGAGAGTTGGGACACACAGTTTCTATAGGGACAAAGATGGTCCCTCACAATAGTGCAGATTCTTCTCCCAACTGGATCATCTTGTGAAATCAGAAAAGACAGAAGTATCTTATATGAGACTGTTTGAGAATATAACTAAAACTCCAACGGGAAAAAGAAACACAAAGGGGATAACAGCAGCCATCCAGAGCAGCGACTGTCACCCAGGGTTTTGAAAATAGCCCCTGTTCTTGTTGAACTTTAGATCTGCACTCCTCAAAATGTGGCAACCAGGAAAGTCTGCTCCTTTGGAACCAATTCAGATGTTTCCAGAACAGAGATCAAGTCAAAAATTGTTCATAGGAACCTATTGATATTTTTATAGGATCTTTTTTGAGCTCCTGAATTATATGAGTGAGATAAATGGAATTATTTATGTGGGATGGAAAGGATGATACGTTAATCAGCATCGTATTTGTTCTGTTGTTGTTTCCTTCTCTGAGTCCTTGGTACAGTACCAAGTCAACATGCACATGTGTGAATGGTAAAGCCAAGCCCTCAGTAACTCCGCTGAAATCAATCAACAGTTAACAATTTAGTTTGTTCATGTATTAATCATTATATTTCAGATTAAAGTTTTATTTGAGCAATGTCATCAGCCTTAATAGACAATAACTCTGAACAATTTATTTAACACTTTTAAGCCTTAATATTTTATTGGAATTACAAAAGGGATGATAAAGGGGAACACAAATAGAATCTGCTTAACAAAGCTGTAATTAGTAGTAGGGGATAATATTGCTGAAGTGGCCCATAGTAAGCACGCAGAAGATGAGTTCTTAGTATTATTAATGACATATTTAAGTTGTGAGGATGTGTGTGTGTTTTACTGATAAAAGCTTGTCTGTTTTTTTAATACTTTTGGTGCTTTAAAACATGGTCTTTGGCATTTCTAAAAAGAGAGCAGACTGCATCATAATAAACAAACACTGATTTTTAACACATAATAGTATGACTACATATTATAAATATTTATTGTGGGTTCTTTGAAAATTATACATTAAACTTGAGAATCTTGGTAGAAGTAGAGGATTTTGGTATGAAGCATGAATAAAGGTATTAAATAATCAGAATGTATGATTCCTTACTTATTCTATATTTTAAGAGTCCTGCACTGTCAAATGAGAAGGTCAGCTAGTACAATCACTTCAGAAATAAGGATGGAGATTCCTCAAAAACCTGAAACTAGAAATTCCATTTTTCCCAACTATTCCACTTCTGTATATCTTTCTGAAAGTGTTAAAAGCATCATATTATAGAGATACATGCATACCCATGCTTATAGCAGCACAATTTACAATAACTAAATCTTCGAAGCAGCATATAAATCCATCTGTTCATGGCTAAAGAAAATGTGGTGTTTACACTTAATAGAATACTACTGTGCCATAAAGAAAAATAAATTTGAGTGATTTGTAGGAAAATGAATGCGCCTTGAGATCGTTACATTAAATGAAATAAATCAGGCACATAAGCCTGAATATCATGTGATTTCTCTTACAGGAGAAACTCAAAGTATAAGGACAGGGAAAAATGAAAGACAGATAATAGGAAATGTGGAGATAGATCTTCCTGAAGTGGGAATGGGATCAACAGATGGAAGGAGGAGGGGAGAGGAAAGGTAGTGAGAAGGAACTAGGATGTGGTGTACATGTATGTATCAACTTCACACAAGGAGTGTAATCATTATGTACTGCAAACCTGTTACTAAAAGGGGGGATCAAGACCTGGATGGAGGGGTCTGGGAGGGAAGAGAGAGGAGATGAATAAAAAGGAATTAAAATGTAGTACATCAGGTTCAATTCCCCACAAGAATGTAAACATTATGTACTACAGACATGTACTAACAAAAAATAAAAGAGAGTTTTACTGTAGTAGAAAATACATGTAGACTTACATCTTATTTTAAAATTCTTTTTCTAACAATGAGCCTTCTAGATTATCTCATTTAAAATTTCTTATTCATTTCTAGCCTAAAAGGATAGAAAGCTATCATAAGAATTTCTCTTCATGAAACAGCCACAACCAAAAACACACTCAGCCACCTAATCTTTGATAAAGGGGACAAACAACCTCACTGGAAGAATGATAGCCTCTTTAATAAATGGTGCTGGAAACACTGGCTTGCTACCTGCCAAAGACTGAAAATAGACCCAAGTCTATCACCATGCACCAAACTCAAGTTAAAATGGTTCACAGATCTCAATATTAAACCAGAAACACTAAATCTATTGGAAGAGAAAGTAGTTAAAAACCTTGAAGACATAAGGGTAGGCAGAGAGTTCATAAACAAACACCAAATTTCACGTGAAACACTTGAAAGAATCAACAACAGGGATATCATCCTACCAAAAACTTTCTGCACATCTAAGGAAATCACCAACACAGTAAAAAGAAAACCCACAAACTTGTAAAAAATTTTAGCTGACTGTCCCCCAGACAAAGGGCTTCTATCTAGAACATATAAAGAATTAAAAAATATCAGCCCCTCCAAATTCAAAGACCCACTCCAAAAATGGGCAGCTGAGATGAATACACACTTCTCAGATAAGGAAATACAAATGGCAAATAAATACATGAGAAAATGTTCAACATCATTAGTCATTCGAGAAATGCAAATTAAAACAACATCGAGATTTCACCTTACCCCAGTAAGAATGGCTAGCATTAAGAAATCAACCAATAACAAATGCTGGCGAGGCTGTGGAGAAATAGGAACCCTTCTCCACTGCTGGTGGGAATGCAGACTGGTGAAACCACTGTGGAAATCAGTTTGCAGATTCCTCAGCAAACTAGGTCTAGAGGTCCCATTCAACCCAGCTATCCCCCTGCTGGGTATTTTCCCAGAAGATCTGAAAACATCATATCACAGCGATATATGTGCACCTATGTTCATAGCAGCACAATTTGTAAATGCTAAATTGTAGAAGCAACCCAAATGTCCATCCACCGAGGACTGGATAAAAAAATTGTGGTACTTTTATATAATGGAATATTACTCAGCTATAAAGAAAGAAATTCGAGGCCTTTATAGGTAAATGGTCACAATTAGAGACCATACTCCTAAGTGAAATAAATCAGACCTGCATGTGCAAGCACTGCATTGTTTCACTAGTGTAAAACTTGAAAGAGTTAATTTAAACTCGGAGGTAAAATAGACATTGTAAAATGATAGGAAAACACTCAAGGGTAAAGGGCAACTGGGATGTGGGAAAAGAGAAGGGAAAGAAGGAGACATTTTGTATGTATGTATATACAGGATAGTTAACATAATTGTTCTACTGTCTTCTATTTCTTTGCTGAAAGAAACTGTTAATGAGTCCTTGATTGATCATTATTGCATGTCTCTATCTCTTTTCATGAGAAACCACTTTGAAGATATCAATATGTAATACAACAAGCATTGTTAATTTGCTTCCGCTTTGTTTGTAACTCTGTGTTGTCTGTGCTGTTGCTTTGCTATTTTGGTAAAGGTTGTCTGTCTGTTAATGTTTTCCTCCTTTTATTTTTAAGATAAAATAAAAAATAAATAAAAAAATAAAAAGAATTTCTCTTCATGTTCTAGGTTTCAAAATGTTTATACTCTACACATCTCAGAAATGACCTGTCATTAAAGTTGCGCTTATATTACATGGAAGAAAAGAATCTTCATTTTATTAGTGAGATCTAAGATGCTGGTTGTACAGTAGGCAAAACCTTGTCTCTGGGTTGAATTATAACTGGGGACCTCATCCTGCAGTAGCCAGATTGTAAGCAGTTCCTGGGTTAGGGAGACAATTTGTGACAAAACAGCCATTTCTAACTTATTCCTAATCCTATAGAAGAGACAGAAAAGATGTAGGAAGATGCAGCTCTGTAGTTCTCTTCTTGGCTCCCAGCTTGATGCAGTTCATTCATTTGGTTTTCAACAGGGCTTGGCATACTTTTTACTTCTAAGATCTGGGGTCCAATAGTGACAGAGACTGACTCTCACTTGTACCCATGGCACTGGGAAAGTGTTGGAGGAACATCAGTTTTTGTGGCTTATATGTAGATGTCGCTCCAAAGCCTCATGTACTCACAAGGGGGCTTTTGGGAGTGACTAGATCATGGGTGTGATACTGGACTAGACCACTGATTGGTTTAATAGAGTTCTGAGTGTGGATGATGGATTTACTGAAGAGGGAAGATACACCCTACATGTGGGCACCACCAACCAATAGACTTGTAGCATGGGTGGAATAAAAAGGAAAAGAAAGAAGTCTCACTGCCTCCTGCTTACTCTGCCATGAGCTGTTTTGCTACTACTGAGCCCAGCAATGAGAAAATCAACCAAGACACTTACAGTAACAAAAACAAGTTGTGAGTACCATTGTAGAACTGCAACAGCGGAAAGAGCGACACAAGAGAGACTCCTAGTACCTGGAGAGGTCCTCTGGAAAGAAGCTGCCTAAGCTTAAGTCTGAAAGGATGAGACAGAATTCCTAAATCTTCCTTTCAACAACATAGAAATTAGGTGAGTAGCAAAGGACTTAAAAGAAGAACATAATGGCCAGAACAGATTCCCGAAGCACAGTGTGGAACTACAAGAGGC